AACTGGATGGGGTCATGATTCCCAGTTTGGAGTGGCTGTCTGCCCTTTGATGCTCCTCCGTTTTGATGTGCTGTAAATCCTAACCTTGTTATGTTAATGAGCAGGATTAAAGTCATGGGCCACAACCTTACCAGAGGGCAAGAGGAGCTTGAGCCACGCCTTTCATTTTACAAGAGCTCAAAGGAGGGAGCAGCACACAGGGGGGAGAGGGCTCTCACTACCACCCAGAAAGAGGAGCCAGGATGGTAACAAGCCCTTTGAACCCAGGGCCCCTGCACTGAGAACCTCCTAGACCCATGAGGAGATGGATGCCAAGAAACTTGTAAATCTCCAAGGAATGCTGGGCCCACTGACGTTGAAAGGAGACCACGAGCTTGTTCCAGAGCTGACAGAGAAAGAACCCCTTCCCCTAGAGCTCACACCCTGAATTCGGACCCCGAGCCCCGAATAGATGTCTGTTAAACCCACTCCCTTATGGCCTTCCATTCATAGGAGCAGAGATCACAAGGGCAGGCTTTGTAATGTGGCTCAAGACCCTACGTGAGCTGGCCCTGCCCTGCTCTCTGATTTCAACTAGAAATGCTTCTTCCCACAAACAGGCCGGGCTCCCTTGAACTTTCTATGGCTGCTTCCTTGTCACCATCAGCCCTCAGCCTGAACACCGGAGACCTCCCTGACCTCCTCAGGCAAAGCACCCCTCCCCTCCACCAGCCCTTCTCTATCTCATCCCTCTTCATTCTCTGTACCCCATTTATCACCAAAGAACATGACCTTGTTTACTCATTAGTTATCTGTCTTGCTCCACTAGAATGGGAGCTAGTAGCAGGCATGGGGTTTGAGTTCAGGCATTAGCTCATTAACTGATATCACACACACACACACACACACACACACACACAGTATGGGGTTTGAGTTCTGACAGTAAGTCATTAACTGATATATCACACACACACAGACAGCATGGGGTTTGATTTCTGACATTAACTCATCATACACACACACACACACACACACACACACAGCTGTTGCTAACGATTCCAACTCAATCTTTAGTTCTTGCATTAAATACACAGGTTGGGGAGACTTCCTCTCACGTACTTTGGTCATGTTGTCAGGAGAGACCAGTCCCTGGAGGACACCGTGCTTGGTAAATTAGAAGGGCAGCGAAACAGAGGAAGGCCCTCAACAAGGTCAATGGACACCGTGGCTGCAACAATGGGCTCAAACCCAAGACCAATTGTGAGGATGGCGCAGGACCGGCTGTGTTTTCATTCTGCTGTACAGAGGGTTGCTGTGGGTCAGAACCGACTGGACGGCAACGAACAGCAGCAACGTGCTCTTGTGAATTAAATTGAGTTGGTCACTTAACTGGGAAACACCATTCTAAAAGATCTCACAGCCCCTTAACCTGTAAGGTTCTGGGCCCCTTCGAAGCCCTTCCAAGAGACCCTGGAGATCTAGCTGTGCTCTGATGGCTGTGAGGCACAGTGGGAGGGGACCCACTCAGGAGTGGGGCATTGAAGTGTGTGCTGAGCATCGGGGCTGGTTAGAACAGGGAGGTGGCAAGGAGCACGCAGCGGTTGTGTTCTGAGGAGCCTGCACTTGTACCATGGGCTTTAGTCATTTCAACCTTTTCTGTTTGGGTCCTGTCTCCCAGCCCAAATCTTGTTTTCCTGACACAAGATTCCAGCACCCAGCCTTCTCTCTGAGGCTTGTTGACAGGGGATGCGCTTGGGTGGGCCCAGGATCCCTGTTCTGCTCAGGGATGGCTGCTGTCTGGGGCCTCGCCCGCCCCGGAGTGGCCACCTGGGAGGAGCAGAAGCCTGGCCATTGTCCCTCCTAACACCTCCTGCAGGCCTGCTGCAGGAGAAGAGTCCAGGCAAAGGGGCTGAGTGGGGAGGGAGACCCTGGGCCTTCTGGTTGCTTCCCTGAGTGGCTTACTAACAGCTCTCCCCCTTAGCTCTGTGCCTGGAGGGTCCATGTTTGAGATGTTGACTTTAATCCCTGGGGGGTGGGGGGTTGGGGGTCCTGCCACGTCCTGATGAAAGAGGACACATCTCAGGTCCCTTCCCTCCTCCCTCCTGTCCCCCTGCCTCCCCGCTCTGCCTCCCTCTCCACCATGAACCTCCTGCCTTTCTCCCAAGCCGCTTTCCTTTGCAGACAGCCTAACAAAGAGCCTCAATAAGGCCACAGGCAGCTGACTGCTTATCAAGATGAACCTCTTTGCTGTGTCCTGGCTGTCACCTTGGTGTGCTGCTTTGCCATCACAGACTGCAAAACAAAGCAGCTGCTTTCCCCCCACCGCACCCGCCCCCCCACCCCCCCTACACACACACATAGACGCTCTCTGCTGGGGAGCTGCAGCTCTCACCTCCTAGCTCTCTTATCTCCCATTTCCTCCCATTACCCCCCTTCTTTATAGCCCAGCCTGGAGGCCCTAATCCTCTGTAACAGGATTGAGAGCTGGTGGTCAGGGTGGAGGAAAGTCAGTCTTTCTAATCCAAGCTGGTGCCCAGGGAATGAATACTCAGGTCACAGGGCACCAGGCCAGGGAGGCCAGAGAGCTCCATCACCTCCCTGTTTTACAGTGCAGGACACTGAGGTCCAGGGCTGGTTAGGAGAGAAGAGTCTAGATTCTGAGCCTCCCGAAGTCTTTCCTACCTCTCATTCAATTGACAAGAATGCCCCGTGGCCTGGGGGACTCAAGGTCTGGTGAACAGATTGAACCAAGCCACAGAGAGCCATCCCACAGCATTCTCCATGCCAAGACTCACAGGCCATCAAGGAGCCACCTTCGGGAGAACAGGGGCAGGTCATGGAGGAGTTGGGTTTTTGAGGGAGGGGAAGCGGTCTGTGCCTGGAAGGACGCCTGTTTGCATGGAAATAGGGACGCAGTCAGATGGGTGTTTAGGGAGAGGCTAGGGCCTCCTTTGCTGGAAGGTTAGGACCTGTGTGTCACCTGTGCAGGGCACAAAGCCCCTTGGAAGGACCAGATGAGAAGCAGGGAACTGCCAAGAGGTAAAAGCAGCTCTCTCCCCTCTGGTGGAAGTCTCTGGTGTTGCCACAGGAGGGCAACCAGGGGGAACCAGGGCCCAGGAGCTACCTGCAGAGCAGGCAGAAAGGAGAGTGTAAGGATGTCCTGAGTCCCACCCCCAGCCCCGGCTGTGACCACGGAGGCAAGCAGGCGAACTGGGCCATGTTGCTAACACGTCGGCTGTCTGTCAGGCAGGCATTAACTGCTGCACCCCTGTGGGTGAAAGGCCAGCCCCCCACAACTAATTGCGGGTTCGATAGGTGCAATTGTACGGTTACCATATATATAAAGATTATAATAAAGCCATAGAAAGCATGAGAGATAAAAGACTGAAATAATGGAGTCAGACACATTTCATGGTCACATGCTCACCTCAGCCTCACTTGGGGGTCCACCTGGAGAGAGAGGGGAGAGGGCAGGAGAGAGGGGGAGGGGAAGGAAGACAAGGGGAAAGGGAACAGGGGAGCGAGGACAGGGAGAGGAAGGGGGAGCCGATGAGAGGCTAAGGCTTATATATCTTTGGTGGGGGTGGGGGGCGTGCAAGCCCACTAATTACAGGTAAAGATATGTCACAGGAAGGGGTTGCACTATAGGTTCTACAGCAATGAGAGGGAGACGATCTAGGGATATACACTCAATAGAAAGGGGAGGGATTGGGGGTACACATGTGACAGGAAGGGTGGATCCTGGATTCAGGATGGCAGCCTAACATTGGATGTCACTGAGCAGGTTTGACCTGGTCTCTGGATCTCCATAGAAACCATTATCAGTAGGGTATAAAGTCCACCTATAGGAACCAAACTAAAGGTTGCAAGCCTTTAGGGAGAAGTAGCCCATTGTCTTTAACAGCAGGGAGTGGGCCCTACTTGTGGTGGGACCAGATAGTAGTCTGGCAACTGGATGCCTTCAGGGAGGTAACTGTTTCCCACACATCCCAAAGCAAAACCAAACCCACTGCCATCAAGTTGATCCCCACGCACAGAGGTTGCATGCAAGGTTTGCGAGACTGTAAACTTGTACAGAAGCAGCAACCTCATCTTTCTCCCTCGGAGGGGCTGGTGCATCCGAAGGGGCAACCTTGCAGTGAGCAGCCCAGAGTCCAACCTAGAGCGACATGGGGTCCCTTTAAGAGCTGCACAGGAAGGTCATTTGGGGGTCACGCTCAAAGCTGGAAGGCAGCCTCCTGACTTGTCCTGACTTTGGACCAGACACTCAACCTCTGGGAACATCAGGGCTGTCCAGGAGCCTGGAGAGGCCAGGTCTGGAGAGGGCAGGCTGGCTGCACCCCAGGCTCCTGCTGGGCTCAGCCCTGGGTACTGAGAAAGAACCCTGTCTCCACACCCAAGCAATCCTGAGCTCTGAGGGGTCAGACCCAGGCTTAGTGGCTGGTGGCCTCGGGCAGCTCAGAGTCCGGTCTCTGTCGAAGGACCCCAGGACTGCCAGCTAGACCCCCATTATCTTTGGAGACAACCACCGTTTGTGACGGAAAGGGCTCCTTTTCCTTCTGTCCACAGAGCATAGTCCCTCTCTGAAACTGGAGACAGCCCAGCCTCCCAGGCAGCCGAGCTGGGGGCAGTCTGCCCGCAGGCTCCTGTATGGTCTAGCCCCTCTGTCCCCAAAAGGAGAGAGAGAGGCGGAGGACAGGGCAGAGAAGGGGCGGCAGCGGGGGGGGAGGGGAGCCTGGAGCCTCGTGGGGGAAGGACCATGGAGAGAGCGTGGGGGAAACTGCTGTTTTCCTCCCTGGGGTTGGAAGCCGTGAACCCACAGGCGCGTCTTTCCACTGAAATGTGAGCATTTCCAGGGCAGCGCCGCCCGCCCCGGCCGCGAGCCTCCGGGGTGCGCGCGTCTGTGTGCGCCTTCGCCTGCGTGTGCTGCGGTCGCTGTCATCGCCGATGTGCCTCAGCTGTCACCCCACGGCTCCGGCTCCCCGCTCGCGCGCACTCGCCCGCTCTCTCCTCCCTCTCCCCGGCCTCCCATCTCTCGCTCTCCGTCTCCCCCTCGGCCCCTCTCAGTCTGCTGTTGACCGGGCGCCCGGGCCCGTCCCCTGGCAGCCGTCTGCGGTGGGCGCTCCGGCTCCGTGCGCTGTGCTGCGCTGCGCTGCGTGCCCGCCCGGCCCCGGGAAGTGGGGCGACTGGGCGGCCGTGCTGTCTGCATTTCTCCGGGAACCTCCCGAGGGGCTCACCGGAAGCTGAAGCGCTACCTGATTGGGGCTCACGGGCAGGGTGAGGAAAGGTGAGTGCTGGACCCCTGGGCGGGCGGGGAGGGTCGGCAGGTTCGGTGGGTGTCTTTGCCCTGCACAGCAGGATTGGGTGGTGGATGGTGCCTCCTGCCTGGAACAGTTCCTGGGAAGCTGCCTAGGACCCATGCCTGGGCATCCCAAAGGCACGAGACATGAGCTGTGG